CCGGAGACATTTAGCTCAGACTCTGGAAGGTTAAAAGGAGCCCCCCCTTTTTGGGGGGGATGTTCAGCCTCCCTCACTCCTAGGGGGCAGTTTTGGTCCTTCTTCCTTCCCCTGGCCATTCTGGGCCTCTTCAAGGCTGGACACCTCTCCGTTTCAGGAAATCGCCCGTCTCCTGGCCCTGGAGGAAGCCACGCTCAGTACCGACCTGCAGCAGGGCTACGCTCTCAAGAGCATCACCGGTAGGACAGCCGCAAGGGATTCCCCACCCCCACCCCGCATGCCCACCCATCTTCCCTTTGGTTTCCCTGTGGCTCTGAGGCCCCTGGCCAGCCCCCTGTGGCTCAGCGGCCGTCCCTGCCCACTCTCCTGCCAGGCCTCCTGTCCTCCTTTGTGGAAGTTGAGTCCATCAAGCGCCACTTCAAGAGCCGGCTGGTGGGGACGGTGCTGAACGGCTACCTCTGCTTGCGGAAACTGGTGGTGCAGCGCACCAAGCTGATCGACGAGACCCAGGACATGTTGCTGGAGATGCTGGAAGACATGACCACAGGTAGACGGCGTGGGTGGGGGAGAGCCACCATTGGCTTGGTTCAGCCTACGCCACCCTTGCTGGGCTCGGCCAGGGAGGGAAGAAGAAACAGGAGTCTGCCTAAGGAGCAATGTTCTCTCTACTTGAGATAGCAACAGCCCTTAGACTTATATACCGCTTCACGGTGCCTTTACAGCCCTCTCTAAGCGGTTGACAGAGTCAGCCTCTTGCCCCCCAACAATCTGGGTCCTCATTTTACCCACCTTGGAAGGACGGAAGGCTGAGTCAACCTTGAGCCGGTCAGGATCGAACTGCTGCCAGTGGGCCGAGTTTGCCTGCAATACTGCATTCTAACCAGTAGGAGGGAGGGAGGGAAGGAAGGTAGCAATAGCCCTTAGGCTTATATACCACTTCCCAGTACTTCCCAGCCCTCTCTACACCGTTTACAGAGTCAGCCTCTCGCCCCCAATAATCTGGGTCCTCATTTTACTAACCTCGGAAGACTGGAAGGCTGAGTCGACCTTGAGCCAGTTGGTCAGGATTGAACTGCTGGCAGTGGGCAGAGTTAGCTTGCAATATTACATTCTAATCACTGGGAAGGAA